TGGAATTCTGGAGAGGCGATCGCAAACCTTGCTCCGCTAGAACCCGACCTGCCTCTTCCGCCCAAGCCAGCCCCCGAAGCGGGTTATCACGCTGAGAAGGAATGGGATGCTCTGGTACGCGAAGTTGAAAATAGGAGATCTGGATTGCATTCGATGCGGTGTTTCCAGAATTTTCAAATGGAACTCGCTCGTGCGTACAGGAATGTCACTTTCTACCTTCCGCATAATATGGACTTTCGCGGTCGTGCTTACCCACTTCCCCCGTACCTTAACCAAATGGGTGCAGACAATTCCAGAGGACTTCTGCTGTTTAGCGAGGCGAAACCATTGGGTGCCAGTGGCTTGAGATGGTTGAAGATTCAGATTGCGAACCTTTCGGGTTTTGACAAGGCTAGCATGTCTGAGCGCGAACAATATACCATGGATCACTTGGACGATGTGCTTGACTCGGCGGACAAGGGTCTTCACGGCAGACGCTGGTGGCTCAAGGCGGAAGATCCCTGGCAATGTTTAGCTGCCTGTTGTGAATTGAGAAACGCCCTTCGCCATCCGGATCCCACTCAGTACCCTTCACGCTTGCCTATTCACCAGGATGGTTCGTGCAATGGATTACAGCATTACGCGGCACTTGGAGGTGATAGCATCGGTGCCCAGCAGGTCAATCTGGAACCATCCGATCGCCCGTCCGACGTCTACACCGGTGTTGCCGAGTTCGTCAAACAAGAAGTTGCGCGGGAGGCGGCGCAGGGCCACCCTATTGCTAAGATCCTCGAAGGAAGAATTACAAGAAAGATAGTGAAGCAGACAGTCATGACCAACGTGTACGGTGTCACATTCATGGGAGCCATGAGACAGGTCCGCAAGCAGCTTATCGACCATTACCCCGACCTGTCTTACGACGATAAAAAGCATGGTGCTTTGTACATTGCTCGGAAAATCTTCGAAGCTCTGGGTACGATGTTCAACGGGGCGCATGAGATCCAGCACTGGCTTGGAGACTGCGCGAGTCGTATCACAACGTCACTGTCTCCCGAACAGATCGAGCAAATTGTGAAGGATGCTTTGACGCCTTCGTCCTCTTCTAGGGGATCCGCAGCGAAGCTCAAGGATCCGTCTGAGAAATTTAGGTCTACAGTTATCTGGACCACGCCCCTCGGATTGCCTGTGGTCCAGCCCTACCGTGTGCGGAAGGCTCGGCGTATCACCACAACTCTCCAGGATCTCAGTATTGTTGATACTAATTCGGAAGACGTAGTTTCGAAGCGCAAACAGTTACAGGCTTTCCCGCCAAATTTCATCCACTCTCTTGATGCCACTCACATGATCATGTCCGCAAACGCCTGCAACCAAGCCGGCTTGACCTTTTCTGCGGTTCACGATTCGTTCTGGACGCACGCGTCTGATGTGGACTCGATGAACCAGATTCTTCGGGAAGCATTTGTTCGGATGCACTCGGACGACATCATCAGGAGACTTGCGTCTGAGTTTCGGGTTCGGTATGGGCAAAATCTGTTCCTTGCGAAGGTTGACGCGAGCACGAAGATTGGACGTGCGATTCGTGCCCTGCGGAAAACCGAGAAGAAGAAATCGGGGAAGGTCCAGGAGCTTTTGGAAGAGTACAGGAGACAGAAGCTTTTGAAGTCGGACGACCCAGAGTCGCAAGCGCAGGGTCGCGCCATGGTCACTGCTTGTAGCGTCTTCGAACAGCTTGGTGGAACCGATAAAGACCTGGCGATTGCGAGCTCGCTCGGTGAATCAGCGGTGGGACATATTCCGGAGGACTTGGCCGCAGCGGAGCGGAAGACGCCGGGACTAGGGATTGACACGTCGGATCCTGCGATCGAAAGTTTGTTTTCGGACTTTCAGGACCTGGAACCGAGGGCCGGCGAGGCTGACAAAGCCACTGGGGCCGAGCTCGAGGATGAAGTGGCGGCAGAAGACGGTGCAGGAAAGAAGAAGAAAAGGGCGGCGCGACAGCATGTGTGGCTCTGGCTACCCCTGCGGTTCCGCGACGTGCCCACCAAGGGTGCCTGGGATCTGACTCGGATTCGAGACAGCCAGTATTTCTTTTCATAAACGTCTGTGTTGGTGGCTTGCCGGGAGTTTTACGCATTGGGCTGGCGTTGGATGGTGTTCGATTTGATGAAACTAAAAGCAAGACAAGCAAAAAGAGCAACGGGGAGGGCTGATCTCTTTGCGCTTATTGACGGCATTTGCTCTTTTTTTTTTTTTTTTTTTTTTTTTTTTCCCTGCATATGCTGGGTGCTGATTATCATTTGATTGTGATATCCTGATGTGCATTTATTTGTGGCGTGCCTCTCCCCCTTTTCATCTTGTTAACCTTGTATATTATCTCATGGATGCCAGCACTATGCTGGGGAATATGTACAGTATGACCTGAAAAGCTATTGCTTGTATATATTAATCTGCAATTTTGTCAATATCTTCAACCTAGTCTTGTAGATAAAATGCAGCAGCGATCTAGTCGTCAGGAAACATAACGAAAGACACAATGTGACGATGGTACAGCTCAATAAGGAAATGGATGGGATGGGATGTCGTGTTCTCCAGCCTTGGTAGAACGAGGGGCTATTTAGGCAGAATACGAACGCCACCAGGGAGGATTTTGAGTTTGGCCTGGGGTATATACCCAGGGCAGAGAGCAAAAGTCCATGACTCGATGAGATTGGAGAATATTCAGCTGATATTGCTTACTCTCTCGTACGGTGAGACTTGGTGATCTTGATCCAATTGAGGGGGACAATAGATTTGAGTACGCAGTAGGTAATAATGTGGCTGGAGTACACAGTATGGAGTACGGAATGAGGTACGGTAGGAATACGGTAGTGTAGTCTAGGTAGTTTAGTCTGATTGAATCTGAAATGAGTTCTGGATTGGCTGGAAACCCGTATCCTGCACGGAAGACTCCGTCTGACTGAGGATTGTGGTCCGCGATCACTGATCTGGTCGATGTATGTACATGATTTTACTTCTTCGGAATATGGAGGGGATGAGATGGATCGTGGATAGCTCTGGCCAGTAGCCGCTCAGAGCATCCTGGGATAGATAGATGGTTGAGGGATGGTGAAACGGGTCTTCATGCATGATCTTGAGGTCAAGGACTGTGCAGTGGCGGCGTGCAGTGGCGGCGTGCAGTCCGGCATTTGTTCCCAGAAGTGTCTCTGGGGGTATGGTCTATGGTCTATGGATGTACTCCGTCCAGGGTCTGGCTCGGGATGGTGGGGGAGGAATCGACGAGAGACACTATGAAAAAATGAAAATGAATGTGATTGTGGCGACCATCCTCCTCCGCTTAATAAGGACAGATCATCTTCTGGGTTTGTCCATTTTGATTTGTGCGTGGGGACAGGGGAGATGTCCATGAATGTCTCCTGACCTGGGGTGCTTACGCCTACAGCAAGCAGAACTCCACGGGGTACTCCGTAATGCATGCAGTCTGCAACGGGGGAAGAGGATTGGCTGGAACGGATTTCAGGCACCTGGGAGGTCAGGTACAAGGTAAGGTAGATGGTTGATGCGATGCAGAAGCGTCTTTCTGACGTCGTTGGGCTGTCTGCTGTTTTTGTCTGAAATCCGGGGCAAAGTTTGGGGAATGGAGACTATCTGTCACACATACTTTGCGCTTTGCTGTGATCATCCACGATTAGGTTCGTCCTCTGCTAAGCGAAGTTGGTGGACTTCAGACTTTCGCCTTTGAATTATGGGGTCTCGTATATCAGGATCAGTCGGTGTAGGGTTTATTTATCATTCCTTTTGTTAAATCATGATCTCTGGATACTGGATACGGGAGAAGATGACCATGGAATGAGCTGACCAGGCCGACCTAGCAGTAGACTCTCTCTCTCTCTCAGTTTCCCCACCTTTTTCCCCTTCTGGCCGGTGTGGAAATTTCAGCCTGCAATTAATCTCGATACTAGACTAAGGGACTACTCCATTATTATGTCCATACCTCTTCCAAGATGAAACTCTCCTCATCATCCTTCAATCCAGATTTTGCCCTCCCTGACTGGCTCATCTTTTGATTATCTCCAAGAATCCACGTTCGTCTTCCTTACTGCCGAACACCCGCCATTTCATGAAAGAAAGTCTAAGACCTTGATCCAGTAAACTCATGAGCTGTGGCCATTTTTCCATTCCCAGGGTCTTAGGCTGGTTCTAGTCCTGGCGCTGGCGCTGGCGCTGGCAGCCTCGCTAAACTCGACCCAGGCAAAGGTATTTCCCTTAGTTGGTGGTTCCATGCTCGATTCGTCTACATCCCCGGAACTTCCCAGCCTGGGGGGCCTTCTCTTCTCCCCTCCCCCATTCACATTCAGCCTTTCCTTTCTTCCCTTCTCTTCTCTTGCCTTGTGCTTTTTCTTGCTTTTGCCCTCGTGGTTCTTAGTGCTTTTTCGCCTCGGTGGCCTCGTCCTCCAGGAAGCGCTATAGAGCCGATCCTTTCTTTGCCTGTCTGACTGGCACTAACTAACTGGGAATCTTGTTACTTTACTACTTTAGTTGCTTTTGTCTCTTGACTCGTTTCTACTCCGCCCATGAATTAATTATCGACTATTCCTCCTCCGAGCCGACTTTCTCTCTCCCTGCCTTAGCTACCTAGGTATTATTATTCGATTCTCACACCACCGACTGGTGATCTTTCGGCAATGAGCTCTTGACTCTGCTGATTCGGTACCTTTTTCCCCCTCTTCATCTCACCCCGCGCGACTGTGCTTCAACGGTCATCGCTGCTGGTCAGTTCATCAAGTGGTGGTCTTGCCGATCTGCTTCCTCTCAACAACGCTATTTTCGTTTTCCGTCAACGACTTTTGGGGCCTTTAGGGCCCTTGAATTTCTCCACATCTCCAGTTTTACTGCGTCCTCTCTCCGTCTCTATGTCTGGATAGGCCGATCGCTCTGCTTCACCCGTGAGGATGTCAACCATTTCAGTTCAACATTTTCCTCATTCCTATTCTCCCTTTTCTTCCGGTCTGACTTCGAATCGGATGGCGCAATCTCAAACTTCCGGGCTCGACACCCTGGCAGAGGGTTCGCAGTATGCGCTCGAGCAGCTGCAATTGTCGCGAGAGGCTGCAGGCGGCGGCGGCGGTGACCTTGATCATGCTACATCCGGTGGCATGAGCGACTCTGTTGGCAAACCCAAGGATCACAACAATTCCCTCCCAAGCTTCAAGAATCCTTCGCAGCGAGATCCTCTCGTCGAGGCTCGTTCCACAATCAGGAAAAACTCATCCTCGGCACCTGTTCGGCGAAGAATCAGTCGCGCTTGTGACCAATGCAATCAGCTACGCACTAAATGCGACGGGCAGAACCCGTGCGCCCACTGCATCGGTAGTGTCCCCAACAGCTACCCGAAATTTGTACCTGCGGGTCGTGCCATACTGACAGAAGTGAGCAGAATTCGGGTTGACCTGCGAATACGCGCGAGAACGGAAGAAGCGTGGAAAGGCTTCAAAGAAGGACCTCGCCGCAGCGGCCGCGGCCGCGACTCCTGGACAGCCGAATGGCAGTTCAGCCAAGGAAGACGCAGCAATGGTTGGAGGACACACTCCCCCAGATAGGCGACCGGGGCTCAATGGAAGATACGACCCGACCTTCGACGCCCCTCGGAATCTGAACGGCTCGGCACAGCACTCTGAGGCATCAGGCATGGTCGGGATGCAGAATTCTCAGCATCTTCCGCCCCATTCTCAGCCGCCCATGGGCGGGGGCCTGGAAGGCTTGCCTCTTAATGGTTTCGGCGGGTTGAGCGACTCGAGCCGACCTTCCATGCCTGTCCCAGAACTCCAATCACTGCATATGCTACATTCCTCGCATACAAACCCTCGCTCCCCGCCATCTATTCTACCCTCTCACAGGTACAACGGCGGGTACAATGAGAGTGCGTACTCGCTCATGAATCCACAAGAGTCGACCTCGGCCTCGATCAGCCAGTTCCGACTCGGTGGCTCTACAGAAAACCCACCAAATTCGTTCCTCGGGCTCTCCCCGCCAGCTCAGTCGCCCGGCTGGTTGCCCCTTCCTTCTCCATCTCCTGCGAATTTTCCTTCGTTCAGCATGGCCTCGTTTTCTACGACATTGAGATACCCCGTTTTGCATCCTGTCTTGCCTCACATTGCGTCCATTATCCCTCAGTCGCTTGCCTGCGATCTCCTTGACGTCTACTTCACCAGCTCTTCCTCGTCTCACCTATCCCCCCAGTCGCCGTATGTGGTTGGGTACATTTTCCGAAAGCAATCCTTCCTTCATCCTACAAAACCGAGAGCCTGCACACCTGGTCTCCTGGCCAGCATGCTCTGGGTGGCAGCTCAGACAAGCGACGCCCCGTTCCTCACATCGCCTCCATCAGCGCGAGGCAGAGTCTGCCAGAAGCTACTCGAATTGACTATCGGCTTACTCAGACCGCTCATCCACGGCCCTGCGCCCGGTGAAACATCGCCCAACTACGCTGCAAACATGGTCATCAACGGTGTCGCTTTAGGTGGCTTCGGTGTCTCTATGGATCAGTTGGGAGCGCAAAGCAGCGCCACGGGAGCCGTAGACGACGTCGCCACCTACGTCCATTTGGCCACGGTCATCTCCGCAAGCGAATACAAAGCAGCCAGTATGCGTTGGTGGACAGCGGCGTGGTCACTCGCGCGAGAGTTGAAGCTCGGCCGCGAGTTGCCGCCAAACACTCCTCAGCCACGGCAAGATGCTGAACGGGACGGGGACCCAGACGTCGATCCTTCGAAGCGTCATCCTCCACCTCTCATCACTTCGATGGGTCACGGTCCCGGAAGCACAGTCATCAACATCACCGAAGAGGAACGAGAAGAACGCCGGCGTCTCTGGTGGTTACTTTACGCGACGGATCGCCATTTGGCGCTCTGCTACAACCGTCCTCTTACGCTGCTAGACAAGGAATGCGAGGGGCTCTTGCAACCGATGAATGATGACCTGTGGCAAGCCGGTGAATTTGCCAGTTATCGCCAGGCAGGCCCTCCAGTAGAGTGTACAGGCCATAGCATGTTTGGGTACTTCCTGCCGTTGATGACGATTCTCGGTGAGATCGTCGACCTACAGCAGGCCAGGAACCATCCACGGTTTGGTCTTGCCTTTCGGGGCAGTGCCGAGTGCGAGGCGCAGGTTCTCGAGATTGCGCGTCAACTAGATGTCTATGCACAGAGCCTGAAGGAATTTGAGACGCGATACACGAGCAACCTCGCTCTGGGTGCGGCCGAGACTGAGGCCGCCATGGACGGGTCTCATCTGAACCATGTGAGCCCTTCGGGTCGCTCGAGCAGCACAGTCGAATCCCGCGTGAACGAGTCGATCGTGCACACCAAGATGGTGGTCGCCTATGGGACACACATCATGCATGTTCTTCATATACTCTTGGCAGGCAAGTGGGATCCGATCAACCTGCTTGATGACAACGATCTCTGGATCTCTTCCGAATCATTTATTGCGGCAATGGGTCATGCGGTCGGCGCCGCGGAGGCCGCTGCGGACATTCTGGAGTATGACCCGGATCTCAGCTTCATGCCGTTCTTTTTCGGTATCTATCTTTTGCAGGGCAGCTTCTTGCTCCTCTTGACTGCCGACAAATTACAAGGTGACGCAAGTCCAAGTGTGGTCCGGGCGTGTGAGACTATAGTTCGCGCGCATGAAGCCTGCGTCGTGACGCTCAATACTGAATATCAGGTATGCTTTTCTAGCTGAATCTCTTCTGGATCGGACCTCAAATACTAACGCCGTTCTGATATAGAGGACCTTCCGCAAAGTCATGCGTTCGGCTCTCGCGCAGGTTCGCGGGCGCCTACCCGAGGACTTTGGCGAACAGCAGCAACGTAGACGGGAAGTTCTCGCTCTTTACCGCTGGACCGGTGACGGCAGTGGTCTTGCGCTCTGAGATTGAGCTTGTATTCGGCGCTGGATTTTCTTCTTTTGGCGTTCTCGACATCTATATATACACCAGTCAGACGTGACGACGTGATGCGATTCCTTGAAAATCATCATCGGGAACATGGCCCACGGGCCTCGGGGTTTGGAGTTCAAACGGAAGCGACAGGACCTGGTGGGATATTTCCTTCTCCGACATAATCTTCTATATCTCTTGGATGTTTCCTATTTTTTATTCCCCTTCATATCTGTCTCCATCTCCCAGGTGTCTCTTGGATTCGGCTCGCCATCGATCGAACGACCCGGCACTTAGCTGTGGTGATTCGGAGAGACGGGAATGAGGCACCTTGAGTTTATGGGCAGCCGATGGAATGCGACGGCTATGCTCTGATTAGTACATATCTTATCGTTACTTTCGATTGTTCTTTTTGATGGATACCAATACCTGTATACTTACGGATGCTTGAGTTGTTTCATACCCTGTGCGCACGAGTGCCTGAAGCCATACCTGTTCAACGCAGCTACATTTCAAAACACAGTTGAAATCAGAATATAACCCCGTTGATACGAAGATGAGGATTTTGTACCTTTGCGTGATCAAGCATAGAAGCTTGTAGACGTAATATCAAACCATGGGCATTTGTTTATAACTTCTGCTTATCGCAATTGCGGCCTCAGGCCATTATGACGCCACTGGCCGTTATCGATAAGCTCTCTATCCTTCTTTGCTCCGCCGAGCTTGGTTCTTCCATCTCTGTTGCACATGTCCAACTAGATCAAGGATCTTCAACCATCACATCATGAAATGGAGTATTTAACATAGGCACTTGTATATCATGATCATGACGAGCCTCAGTAGATCCTTGCGACTCTTCACCCTTCGCCAAGTCCGCCGACGCTCGCCTTTGTCTCCCCTCATACCCAAACGGTTTCTAGGCATCCCGCCTCAATTTCTCCTAGACGAATACATTCCACGGTATCAACTTCTTTCCTCCGTGGACGCGGCAAAGAAACGCTCCCTCGCTTACGCTCACCTTCAGAACTGCAATCTCTGCCCCCGTCGGTGTGGCGTGAATCGATACGAAGAGACGGGGGTATGCTTGATCGGCGCCGAAACGGCCAAGGTCAATGTCATTGCACCGCACCGGGGTGAAGAGCCATGTATACAGGGATACCATGGAAGCGGGTCTGTCTTTTTTTCTGGGTGCAATCTGCGCTGTGTCTTTTGTCAGAACCATGTACGTTCTCGAAAGTTCTGAAGCAACACCCTTGTGGACTGGTCTCTGACATCACGCGAACTAGGATATTGCGCACCAGCCAAACGGCTTCGACTTGACCCCTGAAGAGCTGGCAGACTGGTACATCAAACTCCAACAGGTGGGAAATGTCCATAATATCAACCTCGTCACGCCAGAACATGTGGTACCGCAGGTGGCTCTCTCGATCCTGGCAGCCCGAGACATGGGCCTGAAGATTCCCATCATCTACAATACGTCTTCCTTTGACTCGCTTGAGTCACTCGAGTTGATGGATGGACTGGTGGATATATATCTGCCTGACTTCAAAGTATGGAAGAGCAGCACGTCTAAGCGGCTACTCAAGGCAGATGACTACGCTGAGACCGCCAAGGAGAGTATCAAGGAGATGTACAGGCAAGTCGGCGACCTGTCTTTTACATCCGACGGCATTGCGAAGAAAGGGGTACTACTACGGCATCTGGTCATGCCGGGGAAAGAAGACGAGGGCCGTGAGATCATGCGCTGGCTCGCGGAGAACGTCTCAAAGGATCTTTACGTGCACATCATGGAACAGTACCACCCTGACGCACACGTTGGCAAGAAGAAGCGGACCACGAGGAACGCGAGTCAGGAAGACAAGGCTGAGGTCCGCTATGCCGACATCAACCGGGCTGTCCGTGATGAGGAACTGGGCTCGGTCAGGGATGCTGCAGTAGCGGCTGGCTTATGGCGATTCTGCGAGGTCAATGAACACGGGGGGTTCCATCTATGAGACTGTCTTTCTTTCTTTTGTCTGACGCATTGACTGTGCGCTTACTGCAGGACACGTACTTTGAGGGTGGTACTGCTGCAGTGAGTTGACTGCCAGTCGGGGGGTTCCGAACCATGTCCGGCTTTATCCTAATGTTGGCCCGTTGGTCACGATTTAGCCGGTATTATCCAGGAAGGGGGAGGTCTTCCGGCTAATCAGTCATCTTAGGTTGTTTTATACCCGTGAGGCTTGAGGATTAGACAAATTCTGATTTTCACTTTCATATGTGTGGATATATTAGGAATCGTGGTCACTTCTATTTATATACATAGACACGGCGATTGTTAGTGCTAAGTACGCTATTTCTAAGTGTAGAACTAGAATTGGTCCCCTGGTTAGAAAAAGTTAAGAGATATAAGATAGACACTTTCTTTGAAGCCATAGATCGATCGCTAGGCTAGGGCCCGATGGAGCTGTCAAGTCGGTCGGGATGACGCCAGTTGAGAGCTGAGATCCACTACTCCGTATGGGGTAACCTGGTTCGGAATAAAATGATTTCTCGACAGTTCATCTTTCAGCTGGTCAGCCTACGCATTAACTTCCATTCTAACCATGCTCTCCACAGCACATTATCAGCATACTTGATTTAATAGTGCACACGACAGGGTCAATCCACTCAAAATGAAACCCATCATCGCCGTACCCGCCGTCCTGGCGCTCGTTCACCGCGCCTGGTCACGCAAGTCCCTCACCCCACTGGGTATCCTCGCCGCAGCCTTGACCGCGATCGCGCACGTCGTGCATCCATGGTCCGCGCCGTTTGCGCTGCTCGTGGTGTTCTATCTAGGTGGAACGAGGGTCACAAAGGTATGTACCTCTGCATCGTGCGATATGCCCCCCATCCTCTTCCACAATCAACTGATTTCGCGCGATGCGGGGATAGGTCAAACACGGGGTCAAGGCCCGCCTTACGCTCTCCGCGACCGGCGCCGAGGGCGGCGAGGGCCAGCGGACTCATATCCAGGTGTTGGCGAACTCGATCGTCGCGACGGTGCTGATCCTGCTGCATGCGCGTGTTCTGGCTAGCGGCCAAGAGGAGGGGTGTTTTTCGCTCGGTCGTCGGGCGGGAGATGTACTGGTTGTGGGGATTGTGGCGTAAGCTTTACCCTGTGGATGAATTGTTCAAACTTCAAAGATCCCAGGGGGGGCTTGGTGATGGGTGTGCTGATGACTTGCCGTGTAGGAACTACGCTGCCGTCGCTGCGGATACGTTCTCCTCTGAGCTGGGGATTCTCTCCAAGTCGAAGCCGCGGCTGATCACGTCGCCTACGCTCCGGGTTGTGCCGCCCGGCACGAATGGTGGCGTTACGGCTACGGGGTTGTTGGCTGGGGTGCTGGGGGCGTTTACGATTGCGGTGACGTCGGCCATACTCGTCCCTTTTTGCTCGAGGGAGGCGTCTGGGGTGGTGAGTCGCGTGCAGTGGGTCCTGGCTGTGACGGTTTGGGGCACTTTGGGAAGTGTGCTGGACAGTATCCTGGGTGGGCTGTTGCAGGCGAGCGTGGTTGATAAGCGCAGCGGGAAGATTGTCGAGGGCACTGGTGGTGGAAAGGTATGTTTCATTCGGTGTTGTCGTGTTCGTTTGGCGGGTTCTAATGCGGGATGCAGGTCCTCGTCCATCCCTCGTCGGCCCGGCCTGGCGGCACGGCGGAGGTGTCGGGCTTCTCTCACAGTCCTGACGGGAGCGTACACCTCCGCAATACGGAGGAGGTTGCGAATGCTGCCGCGTTGAAGGGCTCTCGGGCTACGGGGACTTCGAGGGGCATGTCGCCGGGGCGGGCCACGGAGCCGCATCATGAGAGCCGGCGTGTCGAGAGTGGATGGGATGTGCTGGATAATAATGCTGTGAATGTTTTGATGGCGCTTGTGATGAGTGTGGGCGGTATGCTTGTTGCATGCTGGGCGTGGGATTTCTCAATCGGTGACATTGGACGATCGATTGGAGTCATTTGAGTGCCTTTGGCGGATATAATTCGTTGCACTTACTGGGCTATGTTATGGACAAGAATGGTGACAGTATTGAGACCTAGTGACATTCCCATTCTAGATAGAGATACTAGAAGCAGGAACAAAGGGACATCTGACTTCATTCTCCTGGCTGATCGAGTACTTTGATGACAAGAAATTCCCTTCATGGAGTCCTTCCAGGAAAAAGGACGCTATCGAGTCGCCCGAATGGTCTAGTGGTATGATTCTTGCTTTGGGCTTCCAACCTAAACTGCAAGAGGCCCCGTGTTCGATCCACGGTTCGGGCCCGACCTTTTTTTTTCCCCTATTCCTCATGTTATCCTTTTGATATGCAGGCGCTTCCCCAATCGTTGTCAATGTCCTGGATTAAGATTACTTTTGTTCCTTGATAGAAGGGCCTTATTACCACTATATCATTTCGTAGCGCAGCCAGGTAAGTTCAGTGGGTAACTGGCAAGATGCTCAGAAGAAAGATGTCAACTGCTCGAGGGTCGACTCTGCTGTCTACTACATGTTATTTCGACAATGGCCTTACCCTATCTACAGATAGCGCCGGATGTCCGGACCTCGTCGCTATCTACGGCCAGCGACTTCGAACCCTCCAAGTCCCATGTCGAGTAGGCAGTTCTGGCCGGAAATCCCTGATCCTGTGTAGCTCATCTGTCCGGACAGAGCTGGACGGGTATCAGATAACTCCTGTGATATGTAGTCTTCGCCGGGTATCTATATCGTAGTTCAGGTGCTGAACACTCGGGCGATTGAAAGACGTGGAAGCACAGCGCCATAGTACTAACAATAAATATACCTGGCTCTCAGGGATAGCTGGATTAGCTCTTTCCCATTCGCAAAAGAGAGAAGGATGCTGATCAGGATTTGAATAAAGACGGCTGCCAACAGAGTGCTTTCAAAGTGTTAAAAAGATAAAAGAACGAAAAAGAGAAAAAAGATGGGCCCGAACCGTGGATCGAACACGGGGCCTCTTGCAGTTTAGGTTGGAAGCCCAAAGCAAGAATCATACCACTAGACCATTCGGGCGCCTTTATATAAGTGGCGAGGCCAAAATTGAACTCATGGATCTGAGTGGCACAGCATTTCTAGCAAGCCGACGGACCACCTCCCAGCAGCATCAGGAGGGACGATCACTCGAACGCCAGAGCGACATCGAAGCAATGAAGCGCTAGAAATTACAAGGCAGACAGGGGAAGGTAGTGCTCAGAGAAGATGCAGAGAAATTAGGTCAAGCATGTAAAGCTCTACAGAATCCAGTGAGTGTAGGCTATGTGGAATGTCTAGTGCGGCAGTGCCTGAGGCAGCTAGACAGATGGCTGTGGCTCTAAGCTTTGTTCCTGGCAGTGGTAGCTTTAAATTCCACAGTGGCAGCTTTAAATTCCCTCACATAATGCCGTTACCTGACAATATTGCCAATACGAATATTTGATTACCAATAACCAACCTCTATCTTGGATCATAGATGACTAGTGCAAACTGAACAAACAGTAGAAATATGGAGAAAGTGAGACAGACAAACACTGCAAAACAGGTGCAAACACCAACGTCATCCATCTTGTCCCCACCGGATTCCAGCCATGGCAGCCGCCGAGCTTATGGTTGGATTGCTGACCCAAGTGCCTCTCAATTCTAAGGTATGATCGTTAATCATGGCAATCTATTTCCGTTTGCGTGAGTCACTTGCAATGGTGCCCACGGCTGAGTTGAAACTGGACCGAGGACGATGCATCGCTGAGGGGGACTAACTCGATAGCTACTTCTGACTTCTGACTTGCATTACTCTACGGTGTCCAGCTCAGGTACGGAGCACTGCAGAGTGGGATGGCTGTCGACGTCACACCACCTAGTCTAGGTACTCATCGTGAACGGACTCCGTACCTCGCAGATTTCCCCCTCCACTTCCTCACGTCCAATCTGATATTCCAAATCGCGATCTTCGCCTCTGGCGGCTGCCTTGGTTTTATTCCTACCTTGCTCAGCTAAACAGCGGACAGTGCGGGGTGTTTGCACCGAAATAACTCTGTTTCCCATTATTAGCTCGAAGTGTATTATCCAGGGACGGCCTATCGTATTCCATGCTACCAACATGATGATGATGCTGGATCTTGCGATGCTAACCTCCATCTGGGCAGGAGCTCAAGGTCTGGCCCGCGGAGCTGCACTTTCTACCTCACCAACTAATCATCATGCTGAATCATATTCTAATATTATTGTGCCTGGAGAATGTTCGGTCCACTTCCTCGATTTATTTCTTGACATTTGATCCAGGAGCTCTTTCATTTAAACTAATGCAACCCCTCCATGATCTACCCCTCACTCAATTCTTCTGTTGAAACAGGGCCCGAATCTCTCTATATCCTCTATATCAACCTGAATTAGTCGTTCATTCTTTATTCTGAGAACACAATTCTCACCTTTTCTTTTCCTTCTGTTGATCTTTGAAGTCAGATCCTGCATCTATAATCAGAATGTCCCCGTTGGCGTGCCCTTCGAAAGATGTCGAGATCGTCGATATACATCAAAATGACGTGGAATTCTCGCTCGTGAACGAGATACGCAAGGGCCTCAATCCCCCGGACGGTGCTCGAAGATCCTTGCCCACCATGCTGCTTTATGACGCTCAGGGGCTGAAGCTCTTCGAAGAAATCACCTATGTGGATGAGTACTACCTGACCAACGCGGAAATCGAAGTGTTGAAGAACCACTCTAAGAAAATTGTGGATTGCGTCCCCGATAATGCACAATTATTGGAGCTGGGTAGTGGGTATGATTGTTCCGAAGAATGCCCCGAGGGCTCAAATGTCAATGCAGCGCATATCTAACCCGCCTGTACAGGAACCTTCGTAAGATTGAAATCCTTCTCAAAGAGTTCGAGCGGACAGGAAAGCGCGTCGACTACTATGCGTTGGATCTGTCTCTGTCAGAATTACAGCGAACCTTTGCCGAGGTATCGCCTGACGAGTACGCTCATGTTGATTTCCACGGTCTCCACGGAACCTATGACGATGCCCTTACCTGGCTGAGCAATGCGCAGAACCGACAGCGTCCCACAGTGGTTATGTCCATGGGATCGTCGCTCGGAAATTTCAGTCGTCAAGGTGCAGCAGAGTTCCTTGCCCAATTTGCTAACCTGCTCGGGCCATCTGATCTGATGATTATCGGGCTGGATGCTTGTACGGATCCGGAAAAGGTCTATAAAGCGTATAATGATTCAAAGGGCATTACCCAGAGGTTCTACGAGAATGGGCTATTACATGCAAATGCAGTTCTGGGATACGAGGCATTCAAACTTTCTGAATGGGAGGTGGTGACAGACTATGATGTTGCCGGGGGTCAACATCGGGCATTCTACTCACCGAAGCAAGATGTTACGATCGACGGTGTACTTCTCCAAAAAGGCGAGAGATTGGTTTTTGAAGAGGCAACCAAGTATGGTCCTAAAGAGCGGGAGCAACTGTGGCGGGATGCGAACCTCATCCTTTGTGCGGAGCTCGGGAATAGCTCTGAAGATTACCGTAAGTTGGTCGTTGTCGCCTGCAGCGCTGTGAGCAGAATTTATGGAGAAGTGTCAACTAATGAGCTACCATCCACTGACAGATATCCATCTACTGTCACCGTCAACCCTCAGCCTTCCCAGCCAACCGTCCGAATATGCTGCCAGTCCAGTTCCCAGTTTGAAAGAATTTCAGTCATTGTGGACCGCTTGGGACACTGTTACAAAGGCCATGGTGCCCCGCGAAGAGCTCCTCGCGAAACCTATCAAGCTTCGGAATGCTTTGATCTTCTACTTCGGACACATCCCCACATTCACGGGTCGGTATTCCAAAATCTTTAGTCAATGCCGTGAGCATGATACTGATGCTCTGATAGACATTCATTTAACACGGGCTCTCGGTGGCTGTCCGACGGAGCCACAAAACTATAGACTAATTTTCGAGCGTGGGATTGATCCCGACGTAGACAACCCCGAGCACTGCCACTCCCACAGTGAAATCCCAGACGAATGGCCTCCCCTTGCTGAGATTTTGGATTATCAGGGCAGAGTCAGAAGTAGGGTTGAATCGGTCTTGCAGAGGGATGACCTAACCCGGAACCGCTGCCTTGGGGAAGCACTCTGGATTGGCTTCGAGCATGAAGCAATGCACCTGGAGACCTTCCTCTATATGCTTTTGCAGAGTGACAAGACAATCCCACCACCGCTTGCAGAGAAACCAGATTTTGAAAAATTGTTCCATCAGGCCAGAGCGAACGCGAAACCAAATGAATGGTTTGCCATACCTGAACAGACATTATCCATTGGGCTCGACGATGCTGACGAACGCTCTTTGCCTGACCTGTCTTTCGGATGGGACAATGAGAAGCCTCAGCGAACGATCACTGTTCGTGCTTTCGAAGCACAGGCTCGTGCTGTAACAAACGGCGAATATGCCAAATATTTGCAAGCTACTCGTCAGCGTCGGCGGCCAGAGTCGTGGGTCCTAACCCATCCAGATGAGAATTACCCAATCTCCAAGGGGGTCACTCTAGACAGCAGTCAAGCCACGAAGGATTTCGTGGCCAACTTCGCTGTCCGCACTGTATTCGGACCGGTTCCGCTTGAATTTGCGCAGGATTGGCCTGTCATGGCTTCCTATGACGAATTGTCCCAATACGCCGAATGGGTGGGCTACAGAATTCCCACTTATGAGGAGGTCAAGAGTATCTACAACTACTCCGCTCAGCTGAAGGAGACAAGACAGCATGAGGCATCGGATCCAGAAGGGTACGTAACTCCCACTAAGTGTTTGAAAGCTTGGCCTCCTCTGACAAGAAGTAGCAACGGTGTCAATGGCATTCACAGTGATATGGCGAGGAATGGGCACTCGAAAGTTCTCCTGGATAAGCCTCGGACCCAAGAACATCAGCCAGTCCAACCTCCTTCCCAAGGCACAATGCCAGTATTTGTTGACGTCCACGATTGCAACGTTGGGTTCAAG